TTAGCTTGTTGTGAGTAAAAGTTTGGTAAAATTAGCTGTTATAAAACAATTGTTTGAGTGTAAAAAGAAGTATGTAGTATGAAGACACGAGTATATGTACGAAATATATAATATTTGAGTAATGCCACTAAGTAGTAATGTTAAAACTATAATTATTATATAAAAACACAATATTTTATTTGAAATGTTAAATAAATCTTTTAAAATAAAAGTAAGAATAAATCTAAACGAACAAATCTTTCCAAATAATGCTAAATTAAATAATGCTCCACTAAGCTTTTTTTTGTCATCAACTCCAACAAATATCTTAAATAAACAAAACGTTCGTCATATGGCTGATAATACAATCAAAGAAAAAGCAGGAAACAAAACGATAAAAAGTCTTTTGTGTGTTGTCCGCCATTGAACCAGGACTTTGAATCTATCACCTCTGTAACAACAATAACATTCGATGATCCTATAATGGGTTTAACTGAGCCAATGACAGGCAAACCCGACTTCTTATCACTAGATTTAAAATCTAGATTCTCTCTGTTAGGAAATAAGAACACGGCCAAAACTACTTGCAATTCCAAAGAAAAACGTAAATAGAAAAAACGGAATTAAAATAGAGTTCACTCATCTTCTTCCAAACCCTAGACTCGCTTGCACTCCATGGCGGCGGCTCAGGAGGGGGACGCGCCCGCTGCTCATCCATCTCTGTCAAGCCTCCATTTTCGCTACCAATGACAGATGACCTTGAATCCAGATTTGTTCTTGCTTTTAACCCCAAGCTTCGTCCATGGCCTTCACTCGATGATGTCATCCTTATACTATTTTTGACTGTGTTCCTTGTTCGGACCAAAGAAACTCGTCGCATGAGAAACCCCGAATCGAAAAAGCGTCCAATCTATTAGATCGGCAGAAAAAATAAAACCCTAACTAGAGGGACAATGGCCACTGTTACCTTAATTGTGAAGACGGGCGAAAGGAAGAAAACGAGCAAGACCACATAGCATCAATCGGCAATCATCCGCCCAAGCAGCGCGGCGGCTAGGGCTTGAGGAGCCCGTCCCAAGTTACCACTCTCATAATGCTGCACTAAGCATTAAAAATCTGTTCGATATTAAACTAGTCAAATAAATTGAAAAAATCCCGGAAAAAAACTAGAAAAAGAAAATTCAAGAAAGAAGACTCATACGTTTCTTTGTAAGAGATAATTCCCTAACTAGGACTAAAACTTGTACAAAATGGAATAATAGGTCTCCAAGAGTTTGTAGTGCTCTGTAGGACTAAAGTGAGGTGACATGACAACATTACCCTTAATGAGTAAATCAGGTTATTAATTAATTAATAATACAAAATGAAATAATAAAACAAAATGGGAAGCCTAGCAGTCCTCACACACAACAAAAAGTGGTAGTGCAACCTCCACTGTCACTACCGGCGTTGTCGCCGCCGTCAGCGTCGAAGCCACCGTCGGCATCGGCGTCAAAGCCGCTGCCACTGACGTCAGAGCCGCCGCAACTAGCGTCGCCGCCGATGTAGCGGCGTCGTCGTCGCCTCATTTGCAACCTCTGGCATCACCGCTGCCGACCTCCATTGATCTGACCATGCTAGAGCTCAGATCTGTCTCAGATCTGGTGAAAAATCATTTAATGTCATGCTAAAATCATAATGCCATTTTGTAAAAATACATGACATTAATGGCTATAAAATGTGGCATTATTTGCCTAAGTAACATTGCTATCTTTTTGAAATTAATGCCAACTTCGTAAATGTAAGATGGCATTATTTGCCAAACATATTAAAAAGCATATCATTTTTAAAATATATTTTTCATCTCAATACATGTAATATAATGAAAACAACATTGTATTCAAATAAGTTTTTTAAAAATAAACATTAGCTATAGGTTTTCCGGTTCCAAATTTATTAAATTGAAAATTTCAAATAAAGAATATAAAAATAATAAATAAAAATCTAATTTAATTTTTTTAAATCACTGGACGTTTGAATGTTAATAATAAAAAAACAGATCTGAAATTTTCATATAAACAATTTGTGGAGCCTCAGATTTTCTACTCCCAAACTTTCAAACCCATATTTAAAATTTTCCATTTTGAATCTGAAAATTAAAAAAATATTACAGACCCAAGTGAAGAAGAAGAAGGGTGAAAGGTGGAAGAGAAAGAGACGATGGAAAATATTTCCTGGAGAAACGATTCACACCATGCCACCGGATTTGCAGCACCTCGCTGGAGTAAGGTTAAACATATTGGCCTTTGGTGCTAGCGCAATACATTATTGAGCTACAGAACTATGTTGGAGTTTCCATTTAGTTCTAGCTATTTCAGTAGTATTTCAATCTTTTGCTAACTTTATTTAAAGTTTATCTTTCTGTATGGTATATTCCATGTATACAAACCTAAATGTTTTTTATTTTGCCATATATTGTTTTTGCTCTAAAAAATCTGCCCTTTCTTTTTAGAGAACTAAAAAAATAACCTTATTCATCTTTTAAAAATAAAAGATCTTACATGCAGCCTCATCATTTTTTTTAAAAAATGCATTGTTAAGTAACTTTTATTAATATTGTTCAATTATTTGGCTATTTATGTTATACAACTTCCATATATAAAAAGTAAAGTAAGGAAAGTATCATCAAACTCTTCAAAAATGAAACAGAATGACAAAACTGAAACAACATGTACATGTACTCTAATTCAACTAAATGGGGTCTTAGGCCGATTATAAAATGTTTAGATCATTCTTACACTACAAAAAAATTCGCTTGTAGTCACGGACCGTAGTCACAGATTTGGTCCGTGACTAGTTAGTCATAGTTCTAATCACGATTTAGTCACGGAACGTTTAAGTGAATTTTAGTGAATTTTAGTGAAATTTAAGGAAACTAGTTAATTTTAAGGGAATTAGTTAATTTTAAGGGAATTTTAGGGAATTAGTTAATTTTAAGGGAATTTTAGTGAAATTTAGTGAAATTTAAGGAAATTAGTTAATTTTAAGGGAATTAGTTAATTTTAAGGGAATTTTAGAGAATTAGTTAATTTTAAGGAAATTTTAGTGAAATTTAGTGAAATTTAAGGGAATTAGTTAATTTTAGGGAATTAGTTAATTTTAAGGGAATTTTAGTGAATTTTAGTGAAATTTAAGGAAACTAGTTAATTTTAAGGGAATTAGTTAATTTTAAGGGAATTTTAGGGAATTAGTTAATTTTAAGGGAATTTTAGTGAAATTTAGTGAAATTTAAGGAAATTAGTTAATTTTAAGGGAATTAGTTAATTTTAAAGGAATTTTAGGGAATTAGTTAATTTTAGGGAATTAGTCAGTTTTAAGTGAATTTTAGTGAATTTTAGTGAAATTTAAGGAAACTAGTTAATTTTAAGTGAATTAGTTAATTTTAAGGGAATTTTAGGGAATTAGTTAATTTAAAGAGAATTTTAGTGAAATTTAGTGAAATTTAATATATTAATAATACTCCACATATGTTGGTAATGTTTATAATTTAGAGTTTTTAACCTGTATAATTTTTTTATTATAATATTCAGGCATAATGTATAGACAAAATAGAATTTGGATGTATGATAAACATGCGGTATTGTACGGAATGCAATCAAATTTTCTTGAACGAGTTGAGGAGTTTATTAAATTCGCACTTGAACACCCGGCTTATATGAGTGGTGATAAAATCAGATTTCCATGTTCAAAGTGTAAAAATCTCAAATTTAAACACCCAGACGAAGTTGGGTGGGATTTGTACGCGGACGGTTTCCTTCCCAATTATTACAATTGGACATCTCATGGCGAACCTTTGGATCCATCTGTTTTACCACAAACGGTAGGTTCGTCTCGTAACGTCCCAGCAGAGATGTGTGCGTGGGGAGACCCTGCTGAAATGAGATGGGAGCAACGTATGGTATATGACGCATACGGTGCATCGATGTCTCAGTTCAACCCCCCACAACCATCTAACGATCCTCCTGAAGCTTCGACCTCGTATCAACCACATGAGGATGAAAATCCGATATTTTATGAACCTTATGTGGATGAAGGTTTAGCTGAAAGATTTCCAGATGTTTTAAAAGCAGCTGATCAACCCCTGTAAGCTGATTGTGAGGGATACTCTCAGCTATCCGCCGTTACAGAGTTTATGAACATAAAAGCTGAATACAGTCTCCCTGAAACTTGCATGACTAGAGTCTTGCAGTCAGTAGGCGGGATGCTACCACGTGATCATAACCTTTCGGATTCATATTATCACATGAAACAATTAATGTCTAAGTTGGGGCTACCTTATATAGAAATTGATGCGTGCCCGGAAGGATGTATGTTGTTCTGGAAGGATGATGAGGCACTTGAATTCTGCAAGTTCTGTGATGGAAACAGATACAAACCTGTTCCTCAAAGTAGAAAGAAACCACGAAATAGGTCGGCATTGTCTAAACTGTATTACCTCCCAATAGCTCCACGACTTCAGAGGATGTACGCGAAACAAAAGAGGGTATGATGTCTCACCCTTCAGACTGTGAAGCTTAGAGACACTTTGACCGTTGTCATCCTCAGTTTGCAATGGAGCCACGAAATGTGCGACTGGGATTGTGTTCAGACGGATTTGCTCCATTTGGAAGGTTTGGGAAGAACTATTCATGTTGGCCGGTCATGTTAACTCCTTACAATCTCCCTCCCGACATGTGCATGAAAAGTCACTTTATCTTTTGGACTCTAATTTGTCCGGGTCCCAATGATCCAGGGAAAAAAATAGACATTTATCTCCAACCCCTTATCGAGGAGATGAAAGAACTTTGGGCCATTGGGACACCAACATATGATGTTTCAAGGGATCAAAATTTGATAATGAAAGCTGCCATCATTTGGACCATTAGCGACTTCCCTGCCTATGGCATGCTTTCGGGATGGAGCACACATGGTCTTATGGGATGTCCGATATGCATGGAGAAATCAGGTGCCAATTGGCTAACTTTCAGTAAAAAACCAAGCTACTTTGATTGTCACCGCAAGTTTCTCCCGGAAAACCACCGATATCGAAAGGAAAAAAAGTCTTTCATTAGAGGTAGAGTGGTACGAGACACCCCGCCCCCGAGATTGACCGGGGAAGCAATTTTTAACCGGGTTCGACGTATTCCTACGGTTATGCAAGAACCAAATAAGAAGCCATATGGGTTTTGTGATACCCATAAGTGGACAAAGAGGAGTATCTTTTGGGAGTTACCATATTGGAAAGACCTTCTCATTCGTCACAATATAGATGTCATGCACACTGAGAAGAACGTGTTTGACAATATATTTAACACAGTGATGGATTTCAAAGGCAAAACTAAAGACGGTCTTGCATCTCGAAAAGATATGACTATTTGGTGTGATAGGCCCGAACTATCTGTTGATCTAGAATATCAGGACAACAATATTCCAAAAGCAGTCTACCAAGTCACACAAGCACAAAAAGAATCAATATTACAATGGCTTGTGTCTTTGAAGTTTCCAGATGGCTACTGCTCCAACTTGTCCAGATGCGTGGACATGGACAAACTTGCAACGACGTCGAGCATGAAAACTCACGATTGTCATGTAATCATGCAAAGACTTCTCCCAATTGCACTGAAAGAGATGCTTCCTGAACACGTATGGTCCTGCATTACTGAGATCAGTTTGTTGTTTCAGTCGATATGCTCAATCGTTTTGGATGCAGCATCCCTCCGTAGACTAGAAGAGTCTGTTCCCATGCTGATGTGTAATTTGGAAAAGATAATGCCTCCATCATTTTTCGATGGAATGGAACATCTTGTAATACATCTTCCGTATGAGGCTTTAAATGGTGGACCCGTCTTCTATCGCTGGATGTACAGATTTGAAAGGTTAGTCACAATTTCATTTATCTTTGAATATTTATTTCATAACAACATTAATCTGTGTACCACTTTTATTTTACTTTGCAGATTTCTTGGAGAGTTGAAAAAGAAAGTGACCAACAAGGCACACGTTGAGGCTTCAATTTGTCAAGCATATCTTCAACAAGAAATCTCAACGTTCTCATCTTTTTATTTTGAGCGTGAAGTCATCACTAGAAGAAAGAGCCCTGCCTGAAACGATGACATTGGCGAGGATTTATATGAAAATGTAGTTTCCATTTTCAATTACCCAGGTAGAGGTAAAGGAGCTTGGTTAAACCGATACATCGTGGGAAAAGAATTACAAATTGCGCATACTTATATGGTCATTAATTGTCCAGAAATCTTACCGTTTTATCAGTAAGTTAAATTTGTAGTTATCTTTGTAATATATATACAATTAAGGTAGTTGATTTATAATATTTTCATGTTTGACTTCACGGTGAATTTAGAACGGAGTACTCAGCATTCCCTGACAATGAAATTGATGCATTGGTGGACTCTCATTTTATACCGTGGTACAAGCATCAGGTATATATACATACACACACATTAATTATATATATTATTAAGTAATAATATTTAATAATTACCCAATGTTATCGTGTTTTAATTTACAGATCAATAATCGTGGGATTGTGGACCCTTTGTTAGTATCATTATCGTGGGGCCCTGGTGCCTACGCCAAAGTTTGGCGGTCATATGTGATAAACGGTTACACCTATCACACAGTCAGTTACGGACAGGGCCGACCAACAGTGAACAACGGGTTATGTGTCCCAACAATCGGTTATGATAACTCGGAAACCAATTTTTTTGGTGTCTTGCACGAGATTCTCGAACTGGAAATGCCTTCTGCTGGGAAAAAGTTGACATGCGTTTTGTTCCGCTGCAAATGGATCGATCCAACACGTGGTGTGCGAAAAAATTCAAAGTATAATATGATTGACGTCAACCACTCTCGCGTGTATACGAAAAATGAGCCTTTTATACTTGCTCAACAAGCAGCCCAGATTTATTATACAGAATACCCTTCAACCAGGCGGACACAGAATCCTTGGGTGTGTGCATGTACTGTCTGTCCGAGCAAAATTGTATCACAAACTCAACACAAGGACGTTGATTTAGATGCTTTTCAGTAACATTTTTTCCAACCTCCACCGATTGTTGAGACGGTCAACCAGCACATTCAGCTAAGTGATCCAAATGGGGGAAGTATTGAAGTCATGCCAGAAACGCACCTTCCGGAGCTAACAACTCCATCTGAGCGCGAAATTGTTGAAATGCATGAAGAACAACAAAATGCTCATTATCAGGAAGAAGGAGAATGGATAAACGATTCTGATACAGAAGAAGATGTTGTATATGTAGAAAATAATGACTCTGATAGTGACTAATTGTATTGTTGTATTACAATTTTTTTGAGTTCGAATATTTGTGCTCTTTTCTTTATTATTATTGTAGTCCAACAATATTTGATTTTTATCTTCATCATTATTAAAAGATAAGTACGAAACGCACAAATTTTTTATCACAATCAACTAACGAAACATTAATCATTTATCATAATAACCAAACAAACAAATACAAATTATTCATCAATATCAAAACTTTCAAGAGGCCTAGCCAACAACTCGTTAATTTTCCTTTCAGTTTCTTCGTTGATCGGATCCATATACTCCGAACATTCTTCTGCACGTTGAAGCATCCGACACAAGTTGTTTGCTTTTGACTTGCCGAGTGAGTCGGATTCCTCATCTTTATAGTCGCCAAAACTTTCAAGGGGTCTAGCCATCAACTCCGTGATTCTCTGGTATGCTTCAACGGTTTTCGGCTCCATAAGCTGTGTAATTAGCTTGAGTCGTTTCATAGCTCTGCACATCGAATCCCAGTCAATTGGTTCTCGATTAGCCATTTTTTTCACAAACATTGGACCGGGCATCATCTATTTATACTAAAAAATCGAATATAATAAAGTGGAATTTAATCCACTGTCGCCTGTCGCCGGCCTGCCCGAGGTGAACGGATGGAAAGTAATTAGTCACGGACGGGTCCGTGACTAGATCCGTGAATAATTCAAGAATCGGACAGGTCCGTGACTAATTCAAAATTTTTTGAATTAGTCACAGACCTAGTCACGGACCGTCCGTGACTAAGGCGGTCAAAGGCGGCCCTGACACCTCGTCTGCCGCGCGTCTGACTTCTTTATTTACGACGGCTAGTCACGGATCTATCCGTGACTACGTCCGTGACTACGCATACATATAAAATCAACACTTAGCTGATTTTTCATTTCGCATACTCTCCAACCCGGCCAAAACCCTACATCTTTAATTTCTCCCTAACTCTTCTACACTCCACCGATCTCAACCTCCAACTCCGCCCTCCGCCGTTTGCTGCCGCCGTTCGCTGCCGCCGTTCGCTGTCGCCGTCTTCTTCCACTATCGGCCGCCTCCTTCGTTTTTCATAAAGGTTATGTATTCTAAATTTTATTTACCTTTAATTCTTATTTTTAGTATTTGATTTTTATTTCAAAAATGCATGTTACGATAAGTGTGTTCCCATTATTCTCAAATTGTTTAATATGATTTAGTTAATATGCTCAAATTGATTTATGTATATGTAATTTGATTGCAGTACATGTTATAATTTGATTTTAGTTAGTATCTCAAATTGATGCATGTGGAGTAATATGATTTCGAAATATAATTTCATTTAGTTTATAATATTCCTTTAATTTTAGAATTGAAATACATGTTAATATAGTTTAGTTTTCGAAATACTTGTTTTCTGTACATGTTATTAAATTCATTTTTGTATACATGTTATTAATTAATATTATAAGCACACGTTTTTTGAAATACATGTTATAAGCACACGTTTTTTCGAAATACATGGTAATATATTCAGTTTATTACATGTTCTATATGCTCAATATAACATGATTTAGTTTGTATATATGTTTAATTGACATGCCTATATTTGTTGTGTATAAGTTTAATTAATATGTATGCCTAAATAAGATTTAATTGTAGGTTAAACATGCATGATTAAACATTATCTTTTTTAATTTCGGACTTATGAATTAAAGAACATGAGTTAGTTTAATTAATATGTATGCCTAATTACATTATATTCCCAAATTTATTAAAGAAATACCCCCTCGTGTTAAACCTTCAAAAACGTTTAACATGTTATAAAATATTAAGTTAGACATTAAAAACAGTTTTCTTAAATTTAATATAAAATATAGACTATGAAAAAACACTGTTTAATAAAACCGTTTTAATTAAAAAGTTTTCCAGAAGTAATTAAAAAAATACCCCCTCATGTCAAACTTCCAAAAAAGTTTAACATGTTAATAATTATAAAATATTGAGTTAGACATTAAAAATAGTTCTTAAATTTAGTATAAAATGTAGACTATAAAAAGACAATGTTTAATAAATAAATTGTTTTAACTGTTTTAATTTAAAAGTTCTTCTGAATTAATTAAAAAAAATACCCCTCATGTCAAACTTCCAAAAAAGTTGGACATGTTAATTATAACATATTGAGTTAGACATTAATATAGAATATTCATTATACCAAAAAACTGTTTTTACACAAAACTGTTTTTATGTTTTTTATACAACTGTTTTTTATACAACTGTTTATAAAAAACTGTTTATAAAAAACTGTTTATAAAAAACTGTTTATAAAAAACTGTTTATAAAAAACTGTTTATAAAAAACTGTTTATAAAAAATGGTTTATAAAAAATGGTTTTTATAAATTTAAATACGAAAACTTATTTAAGATTTCAACCAAAATTTGATCTTCTATTATATTTACACTATTATTTGAAAATGTAAATTAATACTCCTCATTAATCAATTATTTTAGATGAGCAATGAACAATCGACCTCCCGTGCTCGCCCGAACTATGCGCCCTTAACCTAAGCCGAGCGCAACAATGAAGATTCGGAATGAGTGACACCTCACATGGTTGCTAAGTAAGTAACTATGAAATTTATCTAATGTCAAATAATTTTATCTAATGTCAAATAATCTAACCAAATGGATATAAAAAAAATATCATTAATTTTTTGAAGCGATCAAGATGTGCTCAACCAAATCAAAATCATAATTGGTGGACACTTTCTTGGCAACTGGGCTACGTACACGGATGTTGACCCCTGGCCCAAGGCCTTATCACAAGCAAGACCCTTCGGCACCAAGTGCCGAGGGTAGACACTCCAATCACCTACGACAATGAAGAAAACTCCAAGTGTTTAAAAGGAAGACCCCTCAGTACCAAGTGTCGGGGGGCAATAAATGCAAAAATAACACCAAGTGTTAACAATAAAGCCGTACCCCTCGAGGACGCATTATGCCGAAGGCCCCACCTATCGGCGCCGGAGGTACCAAGTACCCCGGCCTTTTTGCAACTAATATGCAAATAAAACTGTTAGTCCCCTAGATTTTGGAATTAGTATTTTGATGATGTCACCATAGTTTTCTCTTTTATTTTCCCCCATCTTTGGTAGCTATCATGTATTCCGGCAGTTGACTGAACTAGTAAAGTATTGTTTAAATGTGTTAAGATCAAAGCGTCAATTATCAAAGAAATTTAACTGGATAATATAAAATGCAATAAGGTAATATTTTAACTACCTTAAAAGGATTTACCAGTTACATTTCTTTGATACATCAAATAACACAAAAACATCTGAAACAAACTATTTATTAAGCTGGAACACAAAATGCAATAAGGTAATAATTGTTACCTTAAAAGGATTTGTTATCCTACCAGTTAAATAAATAGTTTGTTCGAAATACTAGATGAAGTGACCGAAAGACAAAAGCAAAATGTTTTGTATCAAGAAAATTATACCGGAAAAGTCAAAATGCAATAAGGTAATTTATTACCTTAAAACGGATATTTAAATCCTACCGGTATATATTTTCTTTTATCACAAAAACATATTTCTTCCTGAGTCATTGAGAACAAATAAATGTACAATTTTTAAGTACTAGTAAAATTATTACTGGACAATAAAAATGCAATAAGGTAAACTTATTTACCTTTAATAGGATATTTAAATCCTACCAGTATAATTTTATTAGACCTAAAAATTATTCTGTTCGAACACATTGCCTCGTGTTTAATCCAGAGCCAATCAAATATCCAGCATGGGTGCAAAGAACGTACAAAGCATTGGGAAGCGCAGTCTAATTGGATAAACGCAGGAGAACTGCAGCTGCTAGGCAGAAAGAGACAAAAAGCTTTATCGGCTCCGAAGAGGAAGATAAACAACAAGTTGTTTATCCTCTGCGATCAAGATTCAACGAACAAGATTAAATCATCTCAACCAACAGATGAAATTAATCTACCGGAGATGCCTGTAAATGAAGGCCGAAGCATGAGTCCGGAAATAAGTTTTTGAGTTCAAAGCAGAGAGATTTCATAAGCATTCAAAGAATATCTAGCAACTCTGCTTTGACTCATGCTTCACTAAGCTCTTAGACTAGATCATCATCTTCATATTTTTAGAGCTTAGTTTATAGTTGGAGACTAGAATTTCCTTGTAGTTCACAAGGTGTTGTAAAACACTTCAGGAGGACAGTTGTTCCCGGCCTGAGTGTGGTTAGATAGGTCAGGAGTACCTTTTGATCCCCACTGGATCAATTGAGAAAAACCTAAAGGATTGAGTAGCTTGGAGTGGTGTTGTACTTCTCGTGAAACACCTTCAATCTAGGCCAGAGTTGTCAAGGCTAGATTGGCACTAAGTGTATTGGGCTTAATACATTAGTGAAATCCATTTGAAATAGGATGGGACTGGATGTAGGAGGATTACACCACCTCTGAACCAGGATATATTGTGTGTTGATTCACTTTCAGTCAACAAAGCACACATTGAACACTTCTCACATAAAGATTGGAGTTTGCCAGCAGCATCCTAAGCAGTTGTCTTAATTGACCCAACTGCTTATCCTACTGCTTAATTACTCACTCTCTTTGAGATACAAGAGCTTCACAATATCATAACAAAAAGGTCTGTCTTAGTCAGATTTCAAGAAATACTACTTACGGCATGGCAGTTGCCTCAACAGTCTCCTAAGGACTACTCAACTGCTGAGCCCACTGCTCACACAAAAGTATTTCTCGTGAACATCTTGACATCACTAGACCTTTACAGCTTTATCTCCAAAAAGTCTGTTCAAAATAATCTCTGTGATTCAGGGTGATAACCCAGCTGATTCCTCAACAGTTCCCTCACTATCACCCAACTGCCTAAGACCACTGCCTAAGTAAAACCCTCTACTTACTAGGCCCAAAGCACATCTTCAGAAAGTCCACATCATCCTGAGCAAAACCACATAATCAAACCTTCCATACCTTCACCTTTAC